AGAATGTTTTTCGTAAAAATTAAGAGAGGACATATAACACATAGGCCTCCTTTTCTGACGTTACTAGAGTAGGACAAAACTCTATTCCCTGATATATAGCGAAGTTAGTGTGCTTGTTGTGCGTCTACATTCCTTACCAAATTCTTAAAGTATTGAGCTGTGTATTTTGACTCGTTACCGGGTTAATTGAGGATAATCAAATAAGTTGCTAAATCAAAGGTTTGATTTGTAGCTGCGAGGTCTGGAAACATTTGATCTTGTGAAAGTCCATGAACCGTAAAAGATGATATATACCAGTGGGTTCAAGCCTTTTGCATGCATTATCGTACAATGGGTCATTCTCGCGCAGCCCTAAAGCTACCGCTGCATCAAGTCGAATGGCAACGTAGCTGATGCCCTCTCGAGGCATTCAAAACAGAAACTTGGTAGACAAATCACCTCTTATGACGAGTATAGTTCGGACAGAAGAGGTGAAAAGTACTTGACTGAGATGACAGTGGAGAGCAAGTTTAACGACGCCACTATGGCCCAGAATGAGCAGGAAATTCGAAATACAAAGTAAGACACTATTGAAAGTCATGAATAATGCTCATACAGAAAGCTATAATAATTGGCAAACAATGTTGATGAACAAATAAATGGTTGTAGGTTGTAACGTTTTTTCATTCAGTCTTGATAATGGCTCGGTGAGCCGAAAGCTCGACGAAAATAAATATCTTTTAGGTTGAAGTAGCGCTTACATCGTAATGTTGATGAACTATTTCCTTCGAACCGACATCTCACACAATGAACTACTATTTGGAATAATTATTATTCAAAGCTACCCAACATTGATAATAGTGGGAACATTGTCCACCGAGAGCAAGACGTGAGCGATCCTGATCCTGACCTTTTCCACACTCAGAGTGACCTCTCTTGAAGGACATGTAAGTACACTCATCCAAGAGAAACCTGCCGAGAAGATCCGCAAAGACTTCAAAACCGCCAGAAAGAAACAAAAAAGACTTTTTAATTGGAAGTTAATTGGAACTGTATATTGAAAAAATATAGAGGTAAAAAAATATATAAGGATTCCAAAATTAACCTGTTAAGTTTACATTTGCTTTAAGCTGACTAAACATTACTCTTTTTGTGCTATTGAATCAATCAATCAGTCAATAGTTAGAAATTGGAATTCGTTTGTCGTTGTTGACTGCTTTCTATTTAGACATAACTGGTCAGTCAGACCGGTTTATTTAGGAATAAATCATGTTAATTTTTGCGATGAATCAAGTTCCACATTGTACTAATGGTTGAAATTCAGAAATTGATTCTATTGACCTATGACAGTTTATATTTTCTTTCTCTGCGGTGTTGGGATAGTTTTCTTTGATTTTGTGCTATTTGCATTTAATACAAATGTTGCCTTCAGTTCTAAAGAGAATAATAAATATATAACCTTGTTTTTAATTGCCAGCCGGCTTTCATAGTCCGAGCAGGGAACTGAGTACCAGTTTTAAAATTGAACAAATCGGTATGTGACCTACATTATCTGAAAGAGAAAGTCGAAATCAATTAGATAGCGAAGTTTGGTGGAAATCGATTCAATATTTCAAAAATCATAGCCATTCAATCTGTACATTCCTTTGTACATTTTTGAACAGCTTCAAGTTCTTAGATATTCGTCCGAACTAAGCAAAACTTGAGGATATTATCAATTCTGATGTTCTCTTCAAGATAATATAGGCAACTTGGCGATTTTTGCAATTTTAAAACTCGAACCCACTCTCCTGCTCGGACATAAAAGCTGGTAATTCTGCGTGTAATTCATTGTGGACAGTCATTTGCTTAGCTGTTGAATATAAGCAAACAAGCGTACAACGCACTTGAAATTTTCAATTATCTTCTTTTAATTTATTTCGTGCTATTTTAATTTGCGTCATTCTGCCTAACTGGTTGTGAGAAAGAGAACTCATCTGCCGTTAACATAAGGTAAGTGTCATCAAAAACAGACTAGGAAACAGAATCATTTATTCTGTGACAACAATCTATGCATCAGACATGAATTTGTTGTTATGTTGCAATTACAAACTCATATAGGAAGACTTTTTAAAGTCAAAAGTATTACTCACAAATAATAAAGAAATATGGATGGCTTTGTATAAGAGGATATAAGCTTTTACAAATCGCAAGTGGTATGTTAGTACTTATTATCAATTGTGTTCTTCGAGACAAGTGTAAATATGAGTTTTGCATGAAAAAAGTTTGCATTAAAACAAATCAAAATGAAAAAAATTGTAATAATGAAAAGCAAAAAAAACAAAAACAAACAAACAAACAAAAAACAAAAAAGCCCAAAACAGAACAAAACAAACAAAAAGCTAACAAAAAGGACTAAAACTGTGGGACCTTTTAGGATGTGCTTGGTGTTGTTATTTTTGTTATATTCGCGGACCTCTGGTCGCTCTTTCGGATCTATACATGGACTTTTGTTGTTGTTGTTGTTGTTGTTGCTGTTGTTATTTGCTTCACCTCTTCCATTGTTGTTAGTTGATACAAATAGATGCTCCCAATTTAACAGTTGTTAATATTCCCAATAATTCGTTGTTTCGTATGTATATTTCCCATTTAGTTTAGCGTTACTACTGGTATTATGACATCGCAAGCAATTCTTCTTTTGCTGCTTATCATCTTAATACAACATGAAACTGGTGKCACATGGTGGCAAAATAGAAGAAGGCGACGTTATGTACCACCTCCTTGTCGTCCTACAAATTGCCAGGTCGGCCAATGGTCTCAATGGTCGGGATGCACACACCGATGTGGGTATTCAGGAATACAGTCTCGAAATAGAAGCATACTTAAAGCAGCATCTTGTGGTGGACAATGTCCATATCATCTCAGTGAAAGAAGGGCGTGTAACAGAAATGCATGTCAAAATGGCGGCACACCTGCAGCAACAAACTGCAAATGTAAAGCAGGTTTCACAGGAACTTGTTGTGAAATAGGTATGTTATTGCAACAAATTATTGTTGAATATTTAAGGGGGAAAAACATTTTTCCCATGCCTTCATAGCGCTATGAAAACCAAGGCGTTTCTTTGGGAAAATTGAGAGAAGATCAGTCTTCACGTCTGCTCGAGAATTCCCCAAACAAACGCCRAACTAATACATGATTTTGAAAAGACGTTATACCAGCTGTCAATTATTATTCCATCTGACCAATGAGAAAYGCCCGTTCGTGGACGAACGTAAGTCTTCTCCAAGTAGCCTCTCCAAGTAACAAGATGAGTGTTCTGTAACCAGCGGATCACAGCAAATATTGTGGATTAGTCGTGATAACGTCTTCATATTAGTGGGTCAGGGGAACAATTAATTTTATCTGCTTTACTGACTGACTAAATCATTCAATCATTCTTTGATTAGTTCAATCAGCCTTTTAATCAATCAGTCGTTCAATCGGTGATATCAAGTCATTAGTAGCAGCTAGCATATGCTTTTTAAAAATGCTTTAACAAGAAAACTGCTAATAGTTACTAATAATTTTCAGTTATACCAACAACAGCAGCGACAACAGAACCAACAACAACACCAACGAAGGCACCGAGAACAGTACCGACAACGGTACCAACTACAGAACCAACAACAACACCTACGAAGGCACCGAAAACAGTACCGACAACGGGACCAACAACAGAACCAACAACAGCACCGACGACAGGAACGACAACAGCACCAAGTACAGCACCAACAACCGAAGTCGAAACAAGTAAGTGCAATTCACAATCATTAACATTACTCGGCAGCTTCTATTTATAAGAGATGTCTAAGTTAAATAGGGAATCAAGAATATACCACCGTCACGGCACGGTAGAGACACGACAGGGAAGTGCAGTGTTTTTTGCAAAGTCCCGTTTACGAAATACCCTCTAGTGCGTATCGCCCAACAACCAAGCATAGGGCCAATTGTCATGCCATCAACACCATCATATGTCAAGAGCTGCATAGGCCTTTTCTGAAATAGCATGACGCTTTGCATCGTGGTCTAGATTCGGTACAAACATCTTTTGTTCATGTGGCCAAATATGGTGTTGTTTGTACTGAAACTAGACCACAATGCACCATGATTTCGTATCTCAGAAAAGGTCTATGGCAATTGATCGGTTCGCAAAATTATTAAGTTCAGACTAAATTGCCTGAGGCCGGTTGAACAAAGGTTGAATAGCGCTATCCACCGGAAAAGTCATTATTCAGTGGACATGCAAAATCTTAACAGTGGATAAATTTAAGCGGCTGATAACTTTCTCCCACCTTACAACCAAGTATTACACTACTACACGGCTAGTACTTCCCTCCTTACAACCACGCATTACACTACTACACGGTTAGTCTACGCTATCGCTACGGTGCGAAGCTATTTTTTCCCACCTCTTAGAACAGGTAAGCACTAGAATGACAGGCGTCAGTCTGACAGGTGCTTGGTTGGCGATGAAAGGTTTGCCATGGATACGGATAGTATTCCAACCAAAGCATCTCGTCAACCAAGAACGTAACGCCAAAGGTCATCTAATGTTGATGAATCTGATTATTGATACAACATTGCGACTTTAAGAGAATGGATAAATCTGCTTAGTACCCAGTAATTTGAATATTGATATCTCAGAAACTATTGTACGTAAAATGGCTTGCAATTGTTGGGAGATTATAATATAATTACTAATTAGTTCTCCATGTTGAGACGAATCTTACACATTGTGCCGACGGGGTCTGTTCTTCTAAATAACTGTTCTTGTACGAATATTTTCCTGGGAAAGGGATTTTGGGCTTAGCATGACGTTCACGGCAAACGCCAAACGGCAGAAAAGATCACGTGACCTGCTTTTTTTTTAGTTTAACGTTGCAGTTTCAACGCGAGAGCGGGCTATTTTGAGGTTGCCATAATCGTGAAAAGTCGCTCTTCCAAATGATTACCAAAAAAGCACAAGGTCGGTCACGAAATTCTTAGGTCATCATGTCCAGAAAATCCGGAGATTTGAGCCCGCAATCGCAGCGGTACTTCACATAAATGCATAAAAACATGTTTGTAAATTTTACAAAGAAATGTATGGATCAAAAAAAAAATGTTTGAGAATAACATTTCATCTGTTTTAACTGGAAAGATTCCATAGATGAATTCCTAGAGTGAAACTATTCTTGATTCCACTGTAGGAAATCCAAATAAATCCAATATTGTTAACAGCGTCCTTTTTGAAATTTTTTTTCCTTTCGTCGTCTCCCTTTGCCCTTGTATCTCATGGTGAAAATTCCCGAAGAAGCGACATTTCACCGTAGCTGATCGTGTTCCTTTACATGTCACTGATATTCCATAGATCATTTCTCAAAGTCCACATATTGAGGTAGGAACACAGCGATTTTCAGCTATTTTGAAGACGATCAACAGCGTCCTTTTTGGTACTAGAAATCGTACACTAACTTGACGCTGAAATGGCTGGCGAAGACTCCTGTTTCACGCGAATAATTGGCCTCGATCTTCCATTTTCTTTTCATTTTATTCGCCATTTTTGGTACCAAAATAAACCTTAGAAGCCACTAATGAACTTAAGGATCAGGGCGTGTTATCCCAATACTCGTTTGTCGATGTTTTGAACGTTTCGATTTTAGCCCAGTATTGTATTAACATAAAGGATCGTTGCACAAGAGTAGAAAAATTGATCTTCAAAAGTTCAAACCTCAAGGGAACTTGTAGAAAGCTATATTTTGGTGGGAAAACCCGCTGACTCGTCCCGGGCTCAAATGTCCGGAATTTCTGGCCATGTTGGTTCAGCTCTGCCGTTAGCCGTTTGCCGTCAAAGTGATGCTAAAACTCTCTATTGTTGACAATCACACAAGCAAATGTGTCGCCCATCCTTCTTTAAAAAAATTGTTCCTGACAAAGGTCCAAAAAGGCTTATATAACGTTTTTATTGTAAAAAACGGCTTATATTTTTTGRGTTAGGGAAATTTTTATTTTCCTGGCAAAAATTCTTAGAAAGTATTCCTTGCCTGAAGAGTTTTTTTTTTCCTGAAATTGTCGCTGGCAACAAGTTGTGACTTACAGCTGGCTGGGACACTATAAGAACAGATATATTTCTCCCAGGAACCTGTCGGCTCCTCTTACAATTGCGTATACAATATGCAGAAATTTAGATMAAACACGTGAGAGTTCAAACCATTTTCATTGTATTCTATACTCACAGATATCTTGTCAGTTACTGAAATATATTACATGGTTTTGAGGCTAACAGACAGAGAAAAGAGATCAACGAAAGGGTTATTTGCTTATAAGTAAAATTTTGAGGCACAATGAGGCGGAAGAATTTCATATTCTGAATTTATTCAATCTGAACTAATAATTTGTGTTTTGACTTACGCAGCAGCATCAACTGTACCTCCAACCAGCAGTCCAGGTATCAAGTATTATATCTGTAGTGATTGTGTTGTTCGTAGTCCAGGTATCAAGTATTATATCTGTAGTGATTGTGTTGTTCGTAGTCCAGGTATCAAGTATTATATCTGTAGTGATTGTGTTGTTCGTAGTCCAGGTATCAAGTATTATATCTGTAGTGATTGTGTTGTTCGTAGTCCAGGTATCAAGTATTATATCTGTAGTGATTGTGTTGTTCGTAGTCCAGGTATCAAGTATTATATCTGTAGTGATTGTGTTGTTCGTAGTCCAGGTATCAAGTATTATATCTGTAGTGATTGTGTTGTTCGTAGTCCAGGTATCAAGTATTATATCTGTAGTGATTGTGTTGTTCGTAGTCCAGGTATCAAGTATTATATCTGTAGTGATTGTGTTGTT